CTCCCCTATCGGGCTTCAAACGCAATCCACATTTCCTTATCCTTTTCACCCCACGCCGCTCCCCCCTCTCCCCACTCCCCCCTCCCTCCCCTCCCCTATCGGGCTTCAAACGCAATCCACATTTCCTTATCCTTTTCACCCCACGCGCTCCCCCCTCTCCCCCTCCCCCACCCCCTCCCCTCCCCTATCCTGAACAGCGCGGGGCGATTCAAAAGCCGAGGAAGAGATATGTTCGGCGGCGCTTCCGCAGCCCCCTCGCGCCGCACCGGACCCACAGCCCGGAGGAGAGCCGACGGGGGGCGCCGAGAGCTCCTCTGACGCCGAAGGCCGAAGTGCGCGGCGCCTCTGCAGTGTCCATTGAGAGCGCCCTCGGTTCGTGTCGCCGCCGAGGAGAGTGCACGCGCCGGGCCATTGTTTTGCTTGGGGTTCAGGGAACGTACGAAGGAGATTTACGTTCGTGGACGCCCTTTCTCCTTGACTCTTTCCATTCTTTGGGTTATGTTTACCTAATAAAGCCTCAGTTATTTTATTAGAAACATATATGTTATATATATGCATACATACATACATACATACATACATATATATATATATATATATATATATATATATATATATATATATATATATATATATATATATATTAGAGAGAGAGAGAGAGAGGAGAGAGAGAGAGAGAGAGAGAGAGAGAGAGAGAGAGAGAGAGAGAGAGAGAGAGAGAGAGAGAGAGAGAGAGAGAGAGAGAGAGAGAGAGAGAGAGAGAGAGAGAGAGAGAGAGGAGAGAAGAGAGAGAGAAGGAGAGCGAGAGAGTCTTAGTCTCTGTTTGATTCTTATACTGAGTCAGAGTAGTACGAACAGCATACCGCGTCAGCCAGTGAGGTCAGAAGTCAGCTGTCGGAGGCCAGAAGTTAGCACTTGGGGTCAGGAGTCAGCATCTTACTTTCGCTCTGTCATCATTATTATTTTTTTCTCCTGCGTCATCCCCTCTCTGTCCTCCCCTTCCCTCTGTCTGTCCTCCCTTTCTCTCTCTCTCTCTCATCTCTCCCCTTCTCCCTCTCTCTGTCCTTTTTTTTCTATCTGGTCTGTCCCCTTCTCCTCTCA